CTGAAAAGCACCCCATCCTCTGGCATTAAAAAACAAGGAAAGAAAGAAAAGAAAAAATAAACAATTATACATCACACTCTAGTGTGATTAATCTCAAGTATGCTGGTTGGTTCAACATTCAGAAACCAATTACCATAACTCATAGCATCTCCAGCCAAAAAAGAAATAGTACATGATCACATCAATGGAGAAAAAGCTAAAGAAGAAATAGCACATGCTCATGTTGACAGGTGGAGAAAAAGCGTTTGATAAACTCCAACACCATTCATGATTTTAAAAGTCTCTCAGTAAAATAGGAACAGAGGTGAAGTTCAAATTGATAAAGAATACCTACAAAATGAAACAAAACAAAACAAACAAAAACAGTCGTTAACATCACACCTAATTGTGAGAAACTCAGTTTCCCCACTAAGATCAGGAACTAGACAAGTATGCTCCCTCTTGCCGCTCCTTTTCAATATTATATGAAAAGTTCTAGCTAATATAGTACACCACACACACACACACATAGGAAGAAAGAACCTTTGTTAAAAGCTGGCATGACTGCATGTGAAGAAAATCTTAAAAAGTCAGCAATAACGACAAAAACTTCCCTCAACCTGTAAGGGGTGATAGGAAGGTTGCAGGATACAAGGTTAATATACGAAAGTCAGCACCAAGCAGAGGCCATGGAGAGATGATAGTCTCTTCAATAAATGCTGCTAGGAAAACATGATTTCATGTGCAGAACAATAAAATTGGACCGTTGTCTTACACCATACACAAAAATCAACTCAAGTGTGGATAAAAGGTCTAAATATAAGACCTGAAATCCTAAAGCTCCCAAAAGAAAACATGAGAAAGAGCCCCTTGACAGTGGCCTTGGCGGTGATTCCTTGGATGTCACAGCAGAGCTTAGGCTACAAATGTAAAACTAAATAAATGCGGCTACATCAAACTAAAAAGCACATCAAAGCAAACAACACACAAAACAAAAAGGCAACCTTCACATGTGCAAACCGTATGTCATATAAGGGGTTAATATTCAGGATTTATAAATAACTCATACAACTCTATAGCAAGAAAACATACAACTAGGTTTAAAATGAGTAAAGGAGTCAAATAAATATTTTTCCGAAAATGACAAAAATGGCCAATAGGTATAAGAAAAGGAGCTCAGCATTACTAATCAACAGGAATGCAGATGAAACCCACCATGGGGTACCATCTCACACCTGTTGGGATAGCTCTTAGGAAAAGAACAAAAGATGAGTATTGACAAGACTGTGGAGGAAAGAACCCTCAT